TAATGTTACCTCTATCAACTTGGTGTTACCATATTACTTGTTTTCTGCCTTCTTCAATGATTTGTTTTTAAAGGAACTTTGCCAACATATATATGGATATCAGTGAAAGAAATAAAACACCAGCAAAACTCACCTCAGGCAAGTGGAAGGAACTTTAGCTGCTGAATACATACTTAAATCAGAGCTGAAATATATTGGTGTCATTTCATGCCTCCTTGTTCTCTTGAGCTGCTGCAACTTAGATTAGCATGGGTTAAAAGGTACCAACGGCCTGTGCATCTTTTTTACAGTATTCTGTGATCTCTGTCCTTCAACCTATGTTGTCTGACTGAAAGCTACATTTGCAGTGCAAGTAAAAGCTCTACAGCCTACTACATAATTTAAGACTACGACAGAGAATCATTAAACGAAATATTTTGCTACTGAAGTTTTATTCCCATTGTTTTCTTACAATTTTCTCTTAGAATCTTCTTCAGATGATTGTAACAGTTTTTACACTCCTGAGAGCTTTGCAGAACTGGAACCAAAATAGGGATGTCAAAACTAAGCCTTCCAGAAAAGTATGTACAACAATGTGCATGTGTTCTGTAGCAATACCCTGACTGTCCTGCTATCCTCTGTGCTTGTTCCTGCTGTATGGAAGATAAATAAAACATCAACCAGACGCCAGAGTCTTCTGTGCTCTATGGACATATCCATCATAAGACAAGTTTTCTATTTTGGGTGATGCAGCAGTCTCATATTTCCTATTTCAACACTTTCATGATTTACATCACTTTGTTTTGTGATACCAGCACAAATATGAATAAACACGTGACATCAAGAGCTAGCTTTACTCTGCTTCTGATAAGTAGCTGATAATTTCACTTTCATTTCATCTTTCTTTTGCAGTTTCCCAGTTTACAGAAGCAGAAAATAACACTAATCATTGCCCAAGGGGTACTTCAAAGACGAGCTCTGAACACGGATCACTTTTTAATTCTGCCATATTATTATGGCTATGAAAAACAGGATACTTAAGCATCCTTTTTATAATTTACTCATTAAGCACTGTAGTTAAAGTTCTCAAAATTCATGACTGTTGCTGTGACTTTATTGCAGTACATGTCAGTCAATGTTGACCTCAATAGGAAAAAAGTCATGCCAATGTCAAGTGTTTTCAAAATTAGCATGGATATATTCTGGCTACATCTCCTACTTTATAAAGCTTCTTTCTCAGGTTTATTACCATTTTCCCCTGAACTAAAAAACAGCTATTTTCAACGCTATAAAATTTCAGTTAGTGATAGATAAGAGGAACTGACAGCCTCCTGAACTGAGCTGAGAAGTGAATTACTGGAAAGGAAGGGCTAAGGCCATACCTGTAGAAAGCTGCAGAACTGAGCTCCAAGGAGGGGATTGGCACAGAAAGCTGTGCAGGTCTGTCAGCTCACCCCAACAGAGGTGGAGAATCTCCTTTCTCTTCTTTGCCTTTGAGCAAAGGTTGCTCATCTGCATGTTCCTAAGCCCTCCTTTTTACTAATGCTAGCAAGATTCCTTGCAGGTTCCAATAAAAATCTGTAACTCAGAATTAAGCTACCTACTGATTTGCTGAATTAGTTTTATGCCAAGTTATGGAGTTGGAAGAGTTGAAACAGCCTGCCAAGGGAAATGGCATGTGCCAGAGCTGGTGCAAAGAAAGCAGTGAGAGCATCAGACAGGTATAGGCAGAGGGGAAGAGCTGAGCAGGGAGAAGGAGGACATCGCCATTTGGGTAAGTGGCAAGCTGTTAGGTCAGCCTAAATTATCACACTTAATTGTATTCTAATATCATCTAAGAAGAGTCAGCTTTTGAATCATGCTCTGTAGTATTTTGATCACAAAAGCTGGCAAGTCATTTCTGTGTTACTTGGTGGATGTATTAATAATACATGATAATTTCTTGTTAGAACACTTTTTAAAACCAAAAATAAGATGTGAGTCTTTACAGTCTAGAGGTAAGATACAAAAGTTCCAGAAATATTTCATATGGAAGAGAAAAAACAATAGATTTAATTTTATGACCTGGAAGTTTTGATAGTGTTTTGTTTCTTTTTATGACTTAACAGAAACAGTGAGGCAGAGAGACCATTTACAGGCAACCTGTCTATACTACAATAAAATGGTCTGATGTGCTAGCCCATGACTCTTCGTCCTGAGAACACAACTAAGATTGGCTCTTAATCTGTATTGTACCACTGCAATCCATCAAGGCTCTTATGTGCCACTGTCATTTCTATGTGGCTGTCAAGAATGGAACTGCAAATGGCACTTTGACAAATCCTTCTTCCAGGCCATAGAAAATGCAGTATTTTCTGGGCTCTAAGAAAATATAGAGTTATGCAATTAAAGCAAATAATTTTGTGAGCAATTGAATTAATAAGATGTGGTTGTCTTTATATCTCTTGATTCATTTCAAGTTCTTGATGGAAGATGTTCTTGCATCTGGTTACTTAAATGCTCCCTGTCTCTTATGTACCTCTCTATGCAAAATTATAATTGTTCCTGTGCAAGGACTCTCGGGTGTTTAGTTTATGTTGGAATATTTTTTCTCACTGAGGCAATTACAGTACCTTCCTCTCTTAGATTTATTTTCATCTAACTGTTAGAAATATCATTGCCTTTGAGATGCTTTCCCTATCATAAATGTGTTGTAGTCAACCAATGGTCTCAAAACTTCTGAAAGAGACACAGAAAGAGGCCAAACTATTCAAAAAGGAGTGTAGATCTAGGAAATATTGCTGATAAACACATAGAAATGACGATTCTGTGGAAGGATCTGCTTATCTCATGTACGAAAACACCTACAGAAATAAATAAATGGATAGATAGATAGATAGATAATAGAAAAAGCTATTGTCTATTTTGAAAACATAATGCTGTGGATTGCTTGGGATAATACTCTGAGCAAACACTGGCTACCAACAGCTGTACTTGCTGGAGGTGTGGGAGAGGATGTCAGAGTTACGCAGTTGTGAGTACAGCCATGAAACAATTTCAGCTTTAAACACTGAGCCTCACATTAAGGAGAAAACTAACACATTACCCTATAGTATCAACCACCTAAGTCAAGGAATAAAGAGAACTGCCCCATTTCTGCTCAGGCTTTAGATTGGGGCAATCTTTGCATTTCCTCCTGAGGTTGTTGGCCAGACGCTTCACCAGTCCGACACCTGAGTGTGAGCTACCTCTGACACATTTTAGCAAGGCTGGTCAAGTAACTTGCTTGCCTTTGAACCTCTGGAGTCCTTTTAACTTCTCAACTACAAACCTCTATGTCCCATTACAGCGTACAGGTCTCGCTGGAGACTTTCCACTGTATCAAAGGCACCCGACTGTCTACCTGACGCTTGTGCTGTTTGTAGGGTCAGGTCTCTGTTCCTCTGACCAGAAAAATAAACCAGAACAAAGAAGGTCTGAGTCATGTTTCCTGCTGTTTAAAAGCTGAAATATCTCAGACATTGTTTAGGGAAAGCAGGTCTTCAAATATGAGAAAGAGGCAGGCCTGCTAATAATCCCATGGAAAAGACTCAGCTAAGACACTGCTGAATGCAGGCTGCCAAACAAGGGTGAAACATAAGCTGTTTCAGACATATTAAGACTGTACTTAGAGCTTCAAACAAATGTTTTATTCTGTATTTTAGGGAAAAAAAGAGAGACAGCATGGGAATTATTGTTTTAAAGACATAAGAAACAATTTAACATTCTTCACTTTTATAAATTGCTTGTACCATTACTAAACCATAACTAAAAACTGAATTTTACTGTGAAAAGGATCTCTAACTTTGGACATAGAGTTTTATCATACTGTAGAAATTCTAGCTTTTTGATTTTAATGGCTCCATCAAAACTGAAGCTTCAGTTCTAATTCTGCTTTAAATGTGCTTATAAAAATTATACTGAAACTTATTCATCTAATATCAGATGGATATGAATAAGAACTATGAAATTACCTCTATACCTAACTTTATCTGCATGAATAGTTCTCACTGTATTCTTTTGAAAATTGATTTTAATAGGAACATCCAGATATGGAAATTTCTGCTCATGACCATGACCTTATTTTGGCTCTTCTGCTTCACAGAGATGTATCATGCTAATTAAGGATTTTGGATTGAGAAAATGAAGAATGGTGAAAGGAAGTGATTGAGAGCTCAAAAAAGTCACCCAGGCCTCTCTGCAGTCTCTGTGTGACACCGTGTAGGATCCCAGCGCTGCAGAGTCAGCTGTGGTCTTATTAATGCTTTGTTAATGTATTTAAATACAGGTCAGGCAGGGTTAGTGCTTAGAAAAGTAGCCTCTCAGGACATTTAAAGCTGTGAAATGAAATGCTTTTCTGTTTTAATAGTTTGTTAACATAAAGCGTTTCTTACAAGGAGGGGCTGTTGTGATGTCTTATTACGAGGGGTGTCACGCTGCCGCTGTGAGAGGATCGCAGCGAATGGTCACTGAAACCATACAGCAGCGTGCCTAGTGTTAGGTCTAGTGTTTAACTTTAAATGTGAAATATCTCTAACACCCAGTTTGTGCTATCGGGGTGCCAAGGTAGGTAAGTCACCGAGGTGTGGACAAGTGCCTGTACGGGTTTAGGAAGCAGTGAGCACAGGTGTGGTAACGGGGCTCTAGCTCTTGTGTGCCTCAAGCCCTGTCAGAGAGCTGAGGAAGAAACATAGGGCCAGACTTTGCTTTTATCTATTTATTTATTTATTTCTGGGGGCAGAACAAACAGGGGGGCCTTTAAATCCCGAGCCGCCGGCCCAAACTCGCCGCCTGGCAGCGCACAAGACGGCACTTTAGGCCGGCAGCAGGGGCCGGGGGCCGGGCAGGCAGGGAGGCACCGCAGCCCGGAGGCCTCTCGGCGGCCTGCGCCCCGCAGCCCCCGGCCTCCATCGCAGCCCTCCCGGCCGGCAGGAGGCGGCGGGGCCCCGGGGGGCCGCGGCCTGGGCCTGCCTCGCCGGCGGAGGGGCGGCGCCGGGCGGGGACTGCGGGCGGCCCGGGCTGAGCCGCGCAGGGCCGGGCAGGGCAGGGCAGGGCAGGGCAGCGCCCGGCCGGGGAGCGAGCATGCGGCGGCGGCGGGGGGAGGACGGGTGAAGAGCGGCGGCTGCGCCTCCTCCTCTTCCTCCTCCCTCCTCCTTCTCCTCCTCCTCCTCCTTCTCCGCTCGTCTCGCCAGGGCTTCGCCGCTGGGGCTGCGGGAGGAGCCGGGCAGGAAGATGGAGCCGTTCCCCAGCGGTGAGTACGGCGGCCCCCTGCCCGCGGCTTGGGACGTGGCTGCGGGGCTTGGTGTTGGCAGGGTGCGGGAGCCTCCTCCTCCTCCTCCTCCTCCTCCTCCTCCTCCTCCTCCTCCTCCTCCTCCTGCTCCGTGCTCGCAGCCTGCCCGGTGCCCTGGGCCCGGAGCGAAGCGGGGGCAGCCCAAGATGGAGCCGAGCATCCGTCCCGTACCTCGGGCGCCGGGCAGAGTTTGTGACAGATCCAGGGGAAATAAAAAAAAATAAAGGCAAACTCTTCTCAAACTCTTCGCAGATCCACTAAAGCTGCAACTTGTGCACCGCATGGTTTGAAACCAGAAGGCTAGCAGCCAGAGCTGCGGGGTTATGTCGTTGGTTTAACTAGCAATGTTGGCTCCTTTTTTTTTTTTTTTTTTTTTTTTTTTTAACAGCACCTCTGTGTTAGGCGATGTTGTAACTGCAGCTTGTACAAGCAGTTGGTATTTTGTTTTTGTCCTTAATCCTGCCTTTCGGTCCCTCAGCTAGCTGCAGTCACCGAGTTGTAGCCTACACTCCCGTAACGAGCCTCCCTGCTCAATGCACTTGGAGAGGGAATTGCTTCTAAAGTCGTCTTTTCCCCCCCCCTTTTTTTTTTTAAAGAGAGGCAGCCGTCGTGTTGCTGTGGCTTTAAGGTCTGTTTGTCATAACCCTGTTCCTGGGTTGTGCAACAGAACACCAAAAAGGTCTGTCTGCGCTTCAGCTGGGGAAATGGAAGTGGTGTGGTGGCCTGAGCACGCAGCTCGAGGGTGCTTTCTGCCCCTGCTGAGGAGTGACGGCCGGGCAGTCATGCACACAGCCTCCTGACGGTGCCCTGAAGTGAAAGCTGTGGCCCAGGGCTGGTGGTGACACTGTTGGGGAGAAGACCTGGAGCTGGGCTGGCTTTAGGCAATGAATTTCCTCCAGAAAGCTGCCTCTGCTGGAAGGGGGACTTAAAGAGAATGTGCAAAGACTAGAGCAGAGATGTTGCTTGTTATCTTGATGATCTTTGTGTGTGTTTGGTGCTCAACAGCAGCTGCTGAAATCTGAAGTGGAGGCTTACACTACTATTTTTTTTTTTTTTTTTTGAATGGAGTATTTGTTTCAGGGCTGGTGGTCTGGAAGGCAGATCTGTAGGCATCAAATCTTTCAAGCAGGCTGTGATGCACAGTAACCGAGAGGTTTTTAGTTTGGTCTTACACGGTAGTAATGAGTTCTTTTTCAATCTATATGTTGACTTCCTGTGTGAAGTGCTGTGTAAACTCAGAAGGAAAGATGACTATCGCAGGAAGCTGAAAATGTTATGTTAGTAGCTCTTGAGCTCTCCGGGGCTCTTACCTTTGTAAAACAGAAAGAACAGGTTGGATCTTAAGGTTTTCATGGAGCAGTTTAGTTTCCCTTGCAGAAATTAATACCATTTAATCTCCCTTTTAAAAATTACAAATAGTATTTAGTCTCCCTCCTTTTCTTCTTTGATATCACGTTGTCCCACCTCTTCACTAGTAGCCTAGGTCCAGTCTTGGTTGGTGAGATCTCTGCACCCTTTCTCTCCTTCCTGGGGGTGTAGGTGGAGGTATGTTTGAGGTCTGTAGCGGTGGAGGGACACCTCATCACAGATCTATTCTTAGGGCCTGGAATAGCTGAATTAGTAAATGTTTCAGGAACATTTGTGTTACTAATAGCATTTTATTTTTGATCCAAATTCTTCTATTTTAGGTAACTGTTCTTAATTTGAGACTTTTCCAGAAAAGTGAGTAGTTAGTGTAATTAGAAGTGCATGCAAGGCTTCATGTTTGTTGCATGTGAATTTTTTTCTATTTTGTGTGATCTCAAATCCCTCTAAATTGGGAACTGCAAAATAGTGAACATAACTCATTAATTCTGACTAGTAACTTGTTACCTAAACTGTTTCACAATAACAAAAAAAAGAAGAAGAAAGAAAAAGTGAAATGTTTCCAGTGATAAATGGGTAAATGAAATTCTGACTAACAGGGACCTATTATGTAATTTGGGGCATGTCTCTTTTGGACAATACTGCAAAATATTTTGCAAGTCTTCTGTTTTTACTCTTAGGTTATATATATTTCTGAAAGGCCATTTCACCATTTCCTGTTTAATACCTTAAACTTTAAACTTTTTTCCCCATTTGACATACAAGGAAGACGTAGAAACACTGCAACAGTGTGTTTATCACTTAAGATAGGTGATGTGCAAAATCAAGGAAGTACACAAAGAGTCATTTGCGATGTTATGCTGAAATGCAAACAACAATCACTTTCACTAACTTTTTTGAACCATGTTAATCTTTTCACAGCAAATGGAAGCTTTAAATGAAAGCTCATTACATAGCTGAACTGATGAACAAAATAAAAAAGTTCTCATGGGAATAAGTGCAGAATCCTTTTGCAGAAGGAAAAAAAAAAGCCAAGCAAGGTAGCAAAATAATTTGTGGAAGAAAGTAATTTGCGAAATTTATTTCAGCTTGTTCCTGCCAATGCTGAAATGTTTTCCTTCATTGTGTCAGTAGTGCTAGGAAAAACATACAGGAGATTGCAGGAGCTTGTTCTGTGTGCATAGCCTAAGTATTGGGGTATGCCTAAGTATATGCTTACACTTAACTGTCATGTTGTATGCTGTTGTGTCACGGACCAGAAGGCCTCTTGTTTGTTTAGGACTTAACAGCACAGGTTAAAGCAAGACTGAACAATCTGTTTTAGCAGGATGATAAATAAAAAGTCTAAGATGTCTGTTCTAAGTGCCTTTTTTCTTCCTTGTTTTTACATATCCCAACATTTTGCTTTAATCAAATATTACCAACAAAAAATTTCTGCTTCCATTTATATGTTTCTAAACACGTCTCACATTGTTCAAATCCATGCTGCTAGACGGTGTTTTTCCACAAAGCCATGTTGTAACATCTGTAGCTTGTGTTCCTGTGTCAGCTAAGCTAACCTAGAACCCCTTTTCTCAATGAGCTGGTTATTTGTTTGCTTCTACTGCACTCCTGTGAAGTCTCTGTCTAGCAGCGAATGCTTGGAAATAAGTGAAGTAATTCAGATACAGCCTGTGTAGCTGAGAGAGGTCTTCCCTCTCCTTGCTGCATTACTGTATATACACAGACAGAGAATGACGTGCTCTGTTCTGCTGGGACTTCACACTACGAGCTTGAATCTGGATGCATTGTGTTAGCAACATAACTGGGACAGAGTACTCCAGTATCTGTTGTAGAAAGAAAAGTAATTTGATGATCAGAATAAGGAGGGGAGTAGATGAACATATGAAGAGAAAAATAGACTGGAAAGAAATAAATCTGCCCGAAGTGTTTCCTCTTAGAGAGAGCAAACACAGAGTTGGAAAGGAACTGAAAATGCCTTGCCCTGTGAAAACTATGTCTGAAGATCAGAGCATGAATGTTCAGCATGGGTTGCCTGTTAGTACATTTCTGCTGAGGAGATGGCATTCCACTTGCAAGGTCTCTAATGAGTCTAAACTGTTGAAAGCTTTTGTTGAGCTCTCTATCTGTTGTCCGGAAAAGTATTCCGGGACTCTTTTTCTGGCATGGTGGTGCACACGTACACGTAGTCCAGCAGCTGTTTGATACTTGCAAGGCCACAGGCACGTGTATGAGATAAAAACCCTATAATGACAGCTATAGAAAATGTTGAGAACTAGTAAAAGATAGGAAAAAAACACAACTGTTGATCAACTAAACAAGCAGCTAATCAGAACATTTTTTATATCCTGTGTGCATGTTAATTACCTACTAAAGAAGCCAAAGTTACCTCTATTTAGTGCATGTCTCTTTTTTTAGTGATGAATTCAGCTCAAGCTTTTCTTTTTCTCCCTCACACAGTGACTTAAATCAAGTCTAGTGAATTTCCAATTTAGCTGGACTCTGAAGGACATTTTTGTTCATGATGTAGAATAGCAGAGATCATGCAGAAGAAAAATACTAGGTTTTCTTTGAGTGAAAGCAATACTAATCCTTTGGCTATGAGACAAGTTTGGCTGCAGGTACTGCTTAGACTTCCTGCCGGGCAGTAGCTTAACATGAGATCCAGTGAATTTTTAAAACACGACAGCGTTTTTAAGAGCTGGGCTTTATGTATCTAAATGTTTAAAGAGTTGTATGTACATGCTAATAGGGGCATTTTCACTATTTTTGGTACTGCATTAAATAGTGGAGGTATTTGAACGTAAATTGTAAGAACCACAAAAATATGTTGTGCCCTGTAGCCAGGAAGAAAGGAAGTGAACAGATGGAGGCTCTTGAAGGGAACGTGGAGGGAGGGAAGAGCCCTAGAAAACTCATCGAGCTGATCACAGAGGTAGGGATTTCAGGGTAATAGGATGTGCTCTGCTCTGCTTGCCTCCCTGAGGCACAGCTGATGTTTTAGCCCATGGTGAGCATTGGCTCATGGAAGAGGCTCAAATAAAATCTCAGTGCCCAGTTTTTTGGTTGGTTGGTTTGGGGTAATGTATGGCTACGCTGGTTTTCACTGCAACTGGAGACAGGAGTCCTAGTCCCACAGAAATCTGAGATGTTTTGGTGTTTTCTTGTTACTGTGGAAATAGGGTGTTTTAGTTTTGATTTTTTTTTTTTCCCTCCTGAAGTTTCAGTGTGTGGAAGATCCTGTTTTAGTCTTCCCTTGTTGAGCGTGGCTGAGTGCAGAGAGCTGTTTTTGGTCTGTAATCACTCTTTGACAAGGAAGGAATCGATTCTGCAAGCACTCAAGTTCTTGTCTGACTGTACATCCGTGTCACAGTGTCGCTGACTTTTAAGGGGAACCACTTGTGGTTAAAGCTAAGAATGTGCCTCGTTTGCTTACTGCTCCGGGGCCAAGCACTGCTGTAGTTTTAAGCCTTCCTTTTGTATAAAATCTGACACTTGAAAACAATTTCTTCTGCTGTAATAATAAACTGTTAACACATCGATAGTCATTTGTGACTGTTTTTCATGCACATAAAGCAATCTTTCTGGAACAGCCA